ATTTCAGCCTTCATGCTGTGATGGTGCTTTTTTCTTTTTCTTTTTTTTTTTTTCCTAAGTAGGTTGCTTTCAAGTGTCTTAATGAAACCATTTGCTGAAAAATTTCTTCTGAAGATAAAATGGATACTGCCTCACTGCCTAATGTCTTAATAACATGCTTGGTTTTTTCTTTCTATATGAATGTATATTGCCTCATTAGGGCAGGAAGTGTGCGTGATTATGAATGTGTTTTCCTGTATTGCTTTCAGTAAAAAACTACAGTTTCCTAGGATTTTCTTCCACTATCAGGATGTTTGTACAGCAAAAAGCTTTCTGTGAACAGGTGAGGTTCGCTCTGAAATGTGGAAATTTAGCTTCCTGAGATCTTGTCTATATGGAACTCCTCTAATGATAATATGAAGAATGATGGGCTCTGGATCTGTCTGCCTTGGAGAGTGGAGGTTTTTGTATTGTATCTGTTTTCTTTTTTTTTTTTTTTCCCCATTAAGCTTTAGGAAGAAACTTTGTGAAATGTATTTGTGAACTTTGTTGGAAGGACTGGTGTGTGTGTGTGTGCGTGTGTGTTTGTGTCCATGTTGCATTGTATTCAGTGTTTCCAAATGGATACAATTATGAATGAAAATAAATTATTAGAACTGATCTGTGGAGTGGCCTGTTGATTTATGCTAACATGCTCAGCCAGGTCAAATGACCAAAAAGCTGCCATCATCTCCTGGCTGTTTAGCTGTGTGCTGGACGTGGGAATAAGGGAACAACAGGCTAAAGAGAAGCTAGGCAGCAACTGTTCTTCCAGTTCTGCAAAAGCTGACCTTTGAGTTTGTTGGTGTCAGGATGAAACAGAGACCTGCTAGCAGTTCTCACCACCCTGGAAACTAGAGATATTCTCCTGCAGTGGGGATTTGAACAGGGATCTCCCATCCCATGAGCAGTCTATTATCAGTATTTGATGAGGTTCCTAGCCTTTTTGTATAGTGTCTTGCTTTCCCTCCTATACCTGCCCACACAATGCATCCAGAACCCTCAAAAGGGACAATCTCTTACTTTCAACCCTCTTGTAAGCCATGCTTGGAAATGAGATGGATGTTCTCTGTGCAGGTAGTAGGAAGAGATGCACCCTTTGATTCTGTCAGTATCTTGGGATATGTGCTGAAAGGCAAGATGACTTTTAATGAGTAGAATTACAGGTGCCTTTGATTGTTCCCAGAGCTCTGCTTTGATTTGCCTGGATGGCACTTCTATGTGCTGTTCAGCTAGTTCTTTTTGAAGATGACTGACAAGTAAGGACCTTGCACTAGCAGTGAACCACGTTTGTAGTTAGATGAGAGTGGTGTGTGCAGGAGGGTGTCAGCCACCAGCTTCGTTAACTCCAGTGCTGATGATGGGGACACATGAGACTGCTATCTCTCCCCAGATTTTATTTTACTTTTTTTTTTCCCTTGTGGCTTGCCATGTTGTCTCGGCACAGCAGGAGCATGTCTGCAAAGGCAGTTCATGTGCTGAGAAGGCCAAGATGCACTACTGCTGCAGATGTCTGTGAAGCATAAACAGATCTGTGAAGATGTAAGCTGTGGATCAGATGTGTGCTGTAGGTCATGGACCCTTCCCAGGATAACTAATGCCCCCAACTACAGTCTCGTTTGCCTGGGGGGAGCAGAGGAAATTGTTTAATACTTCAGGCATTGAAGAAGGCCCAGGTCAAACTGGATTTGAAACAAAGAGACTAGTGTACAGGTTTACTGAGAAGGTATTTCTGTAGCCAAGGTTTTTGTGAAATCATGTAAGAAGTCTGGAGGGCAGATGTTGGCAAGGGACAGGCTTGGGAAGAAGAGGAGTTGGTAATCACTTCAGGGTTCTGCTTCTGCTGTTGTACCAAAGCAAATAGCCTTCCCCTGCTCCCTGTGCAGGAAAAGGAGAATCTGGCTGTGCAGCCACCTGCCTCTCTTGCCAAGAAAAGGAAGGAGCTGACAGGCAGGAGCGTGCCTGAGCTGTGAGAGTGTGGGCTGATGACCAGCATTAAGGCATTGACATCTGCATCTAACCAAGCGCTGGAGCAGAAGGGATGCTGTGGCCCAGCTGGAGGCTGAAGCTGTTCAGGCGCTCTTGTGTGTCACCCTCCTGCTGGGAAATGTTTGCTAGAGCTTTAATTTGCAAAATGCTAACATCATGCCAGGGATTTTAGGGGTGTTCTGTGTAGTCTATCCACCAGCCTTGCTTCTGTCAAGGAGGTACAAGTTGTTTCAGCCAGGCATGGATGGAATGGGGAAGTTGAGGTGCTTTTCATCTCCCCTTTGATTCAGACCACATTTGGTGTGAGTGTGCCTGATCTTTGAGCATCATCCCTATCCTTCAGATCGCTCAGATGGATCTGGCTGAGGCTTCAGCTCCAAGCTAGCCTTGAGTTAGCAGTAGGCAAGGGCAAAGGGATGTCAAAGCACAGCTCCTCCTGGATCTTTTAGCTTCTTGTTGCTGGAACTGCCATGCCAAAGAGCTTCTTACCAGGACAATCTTTTTCAAAGCTATTAAGAATAGTAGAAAAAATCCTAGAAGGTGAGAGTATTGGAGATGGGCCAGTTCCAAAAGTAAGTGTTGACTGTACTTCAAGTTCCTTATGGGGAGTTACACTCCACATAAGTAGCATTATTTTCATGGATGGCGAGTGGGCAGTGAGGTGAGTGGGAGCTGTGAGCCTGAAGGATGAAATGTGCTAGTGGCATTGCCAGGGAAAGAATCTGCAGTTTAGTAACCCAGATGCAGCCATGAATAGCCAGTGGTTTGGGGCACCCCTTCAGCAGTGAGAGATGTAGGTTCAACGCCTGCTCGGCCTGTTGCTTAGGGCTGCACGTGGGTTCATCCACTCACTGCTCCATACTCCTGCTACTCTCTTTACAACTGCAGCATGTCCTGTCTCCTTCCAGCTGTCCTGCTGTCTTCCCTTGAGCTGAGGAAGCCCTTGCTTCCTCACCTTTCATCCTCTGGGTCATTATCCATTATCTTATGCTGTGAATCTAGATAGAGGGTAGGCTAGAGGCTTCCCCTGCTGTGTTCAGTGCTAAGCCTCAGAAAGGAGGAAGTCAGCTTAGGTAAAGTAACATGGGAGCATTGAGGGCTGGTCCAGAAGTGTTCCAGGAGCCCATTAGGCACTATGTGGGAGAGGCTTCCAAGGGCAGAGTGTGTACGAAGAGAAAGTGGACTGTGGCTGCTATTAGCACCAAGTGTGGCTGCTGGCTGCACTGGGGCATTAGTTTGGGAGCTCTGTTCCTTCCTTCCTCTTTGCCTTAGCCTTCTGTGAAAGATGCTACCTTTCTGCAGTGCCCGCTCTTC